TTCAAGGTCCCTTCCAACCTAAACCGTTCTATGATTCTATGATAGTGAGTGAGATCAAAGGGCTGTTGAACTCTAACGCCTGTCTGACAGTTGATGGAGAAGAATGGAAGAAGGAGGAAAAGTATTTTGGTAGAAAACTCTGTATTCTTGTCAACCTGTGCAGGCTGCCCTCCGTGACCGCATAGTATACATATTTTTCCATTTTATCTCAGATTGATTTTTAATGGGGCAAATATAGAAGTGTGACCAAGACACGTGAGGGAAATTTGGGAGACGGTCTTAAATTTCCACCTCTGCGTGAACTGGCACTTGTCTCGTGTACCTTGTTATGTGGAAGGGGAATGACCTTGTTGTAAAACATCATTGCCTTTTCTAAATTGCATTATTCATGCCTTAAAAATCCAAATAAAACCCCAAACCTTCCAGGCGCTGACGACGTGACTGCCGCAAGATCACACGTCTTCTTTAGAAGGGAACGTTTGGCGGTGATAAAAGACATTTAGGAGTGAAATTCCATGCAAATGCCATTTGAGGATTGCAATTAAATCTGTTCCCATCCTAAAAATGAAGTTGATGTTTATCGAGGTGGTTTTCAGAGGTAGGGAGAGGGACATAATAAGTGACTTACTTGGTGGTGAAGCTTTACACCATTTCAGGAGGCAACAGTACTTCCTTTAGAGCTCCAAATTCATCAGTTAATCACAGTATCTTGCCTTACTTTTTTTCTGGTTTGGTTGTAGTGTTTCTGTGGAGCTTTTTGAGTTGGCTCAGGGGTGCAGTTCTAGATGTTTTTACTCTCCATATGAAAAAATCCTGCCCACGTTTCCCTGCCCTCGTGTTCTTCTACAGGATGGTTCTTCGAGAAGGATAACCAACGTAATTCTCTTCTTCAGAAATCGGTTTTGGTTTTTTTTTAACCTGAATATTGGCATTCTGGGCAGCGATCACACTAAGTGGTGTCTCAGCCTGGGTGCAAAGGTGGTGAGATGCGGCAGGAAAGCAAAAGTTGGCAAGGGGGAGCCCCGGTGCCAAAGACAACATATAATAGAGCGTACCCCCTCACTGCTGCTTTGGAAATAGAAATCAGCCACCAAGGAGTTGCTTATGCCGTAAACAAGTGCTCTAGTTTACTTACATTGCATTTAATTTAAAAAAACAAAAAAAGCAAACAAAAAAAAAAGGAAAATAGTTAAGGAAGCAAAAATAGGATCTAAAGAAATAGTCTTCCATCCTTTTCCTTTCTCCTTCTTTTTCCCAGTTCTCTGCATTTCTGTCAGAGCAAAGAAGTTGGCTCTTTGTTATTCCAATTCCACGCGGAATACCGATGTACGTGCGTTTTCCTCTTCCCGTGCATTGAACAAACGCCGACTGAAATCCCGATCCCGCTTCTTTGTTTACATTTCAATTTCCTTGATGGCCAAAATGCTTGATGTATTTTGGAGAAGAATGTACTTGTTAGGAAATCCTTTTTCTTCCAAATTCTTCCTCTCTCTGAAATTATCTGTACCTTCTAAAGCAGGCACCACATTTAACCTGTTCTTGCTGCAACCCCCCCCCGCCCTCTAAGCATCACCAGGTTGGTTTTAACCGATTATTCTGTCTCCGCAGCACTAGGTGGTGCTGATGACAGTATCTCTGAAAGCTGAGCCTTCAAAAATACCAGTGATTAAAAGCGGTGCCGCTGTTCCAGACCAAGGACTGGTTTGCGAATCCAAATTTTGATTTGAACAAAAATATAGGCTGATTACGGAGGGGAAAAAGATGGAAACCATGCTAGTAGATCTTATTTCTGTGTTGCTTCTTTTTAACAGGGAATGTTCTCAGGGGTTTTGACTAATAGCTGTGAATTAGCGGGAGGTTGGTGTTCGGTCCCAGGAGCGACACGTCTTGTCGAGGCTGTATTGGATAGCACGAAAGAAAAGATAAGATTCCAGTTTTCATGATGTCAAATATATTGTGTTACCCTGCAAACATCAAATATTCCCAACGGTCATAACCACCACGGAGGTCTTGTAATCTCATCTTGCGGTATCAGTCCAGTTGCGATTATCATCACCCCGGTGATTGCGTCCTGGTGGGACTGGGGGTCGGGCAACCACGGGACTGACACTGGTTTTGGCCGTGCCACCTCGAGCCCATTCCTCGTGCTGGCAGACACAGGCTGAACCTTGAGGATGGTACAACCTACCAAAGGGCTCTCCCACGGGTTCGTTAGATGCCTTAAGCATGTTGAAGGTTGTCCTTAAAAGGAAGCTGTTAATCTGTTCTAAGAAATATCTGACTGAAGAGGTGTTGGGTAATGATGGAATTTATTGAGTTGGCTCTCAAGAGGTAAGATTTGGGCTTAAGAAGTGTAACTAATTCCTTGTGGCTGTGAGAAGTGTCGGAAAAGCCTTTTCCTGAGGCTCTTGACTAGCAATGAGGGGACAAGCACTGATACTCCGAGGAATCTGCTTCTACAGCCTGTGAAAGATACAATATCAACGATATATGTTAAGTAAAAAAAAATTAAGAGGACTTCTTCAAATGCTGAGCATCATTTCTTGAGCCAGAAAAGCTTTCCAAGCACGTGCCTCCGAGCACTGAAGCTGTCCTCCAGTTCCAAGAAATAGAGGCTATGTAGAATGAGTGAAGTAGTTAATTTTTTTTTTCATTACTAAACTGGCTTTAATATTTTGCAACGGGATCTGGTGAACGAGGAGTCTGCCACTGCTCCTCATCCCAACAGCAAGAGTGACCAACTCCCGAGAGCAGCGTGCTCGGGCGTTAGGGAGTTTTGTTGATGCTTATTTGTCAGTCCAACCTTCTTACCCTTTACGGACCAACGCGGTCATCCTATGAAAGCCTGATAGGAGCTTTGGAGCCTGTAGTGCACCAACCTGAGCCTGTAGTGACTAACCTGATCTTCTTTTGCAACATGGTCACGCGCTTAGTGGATGAGGGAGAAGCTGTGGATGTTGTCTATCTGGACTTTAGTAAAGCCTTTGACACCAATTCCCACAGCATTCTCCTGGAGAAACTGGTTGCTCATAGCTTGGATGGGCATACGCTTAGCTGGGTAAAACGCTGGCTGGAAGGCCGGGCCCAGAGAGTGGTGGTGAATGGAGTTGATTCCAGTTGGCGGCCGGTCACAAGTGGTGTCCCCCAGGGCTCTGTACTGGGTCCAGTCCTGTTTAACATCTTTCAGTGATCTGGATGAGGGGATGGAGTGCCCCCTCAGTAAGTTAGCAGATGACACCAAGCTGGGTGGGAGCGTTGATCTGCCTGAGGGTAGGGAGGCCATGCAGAGGGATTTAGACAGACTAGATCGATGGGCCAAGGCAAACTGTAGGAGTTTGGATAAGGCCAAATGCTGGGTCTTACACTTTGGCCACAACAACCCTTGCCAACGCTATAGGCTTGGGGAAGAGTGGGTGGAAAGCTGCTCAGCAGAGACAGATCTGGGGGTGTTGGTTGACAGCCACCTGAAGATGAGTCAGCATGTGCCCAGGTGGCCAAGAAGGCCAACACCATCCTGGCCTGTATCAGGAATAGTGTAGCCAGTAGGAG